GGGCCGGGCGCTGCCGGCGCTCCCCTCGCCTCCCGCGGCCGCCCGGAGCCCCGGCCACAGCCGCCCCGCCACGCTCCTCGATTCCTCCTCCCCGGCTTGATTTTTAAGAAAACCAGGGCAATTTCTCGGAGAGGTCCCCGGCAGCGCCGTGCCCCCTTTCCGAGGTGGCTTGCCTTCTTCTTCTCCCCCTTTTTCCTCTCCGTTGGTTTGTTTTCTCCCCTTTTTTACCCCCCTTCCATATATTTTTTTTTTTCCTTTGCGAAGGGAAATTCAGGGCTCCGAATTTGCGGTCGGCAATCTATCATCCCTACGAAAATATTTTCCACATTTTTCATAAAAAGTTCAAGATGTCTGAGCCTCGCCGCATCTGGCCCCGCCGCCCCGTCCTGCCGGAGCGGGGTGCGGCGATCAAACAAACACGTCCCCCCCGCCCCCCCCCAGAAACCCCCAAACCCCACCCCGGCGCGGGGGGGGACACCCACGAAAGAGCTGCTCGCCGGGAGGGGAGCGGGCCGTGCCCCCTGCCCGGGGGCCGGGGCGCGGTACCCACCCGTCTGCTCCACGAAGGTGCGGATGCCCAGGATGTTGGTGACGGAGTGGGCCGAGGGCCAGGAGCGGGGCAGGCTGACGTGGGCCGCCGCCACGGGGGCGCCGGGGTGACCCCCCATCTTGGCGGCCGGCGAGGCCATGGGGCCGGGGTAGGGGTACTGGTAGATGTGGTTGTAGGGCAGGGCGGGCTGCGCGGGGGGCTGCTTGCCGCCGTCGTAGGGGCCGGGCTGGGAGAGGCTGCCGATTTTGTTGCGCAGGATCCTGCTGATGGAGCTGACCGAGGGCACGTTGTACTTGTCGCAGACGCCGTCCGCCAGCAGCCGGTCGCGGATCTCCCAGGCGAAGATGCCGGGGTCGCCCTGCTTGTAGTCTCGGATGTGCTTGACCACGTTGGGGGTGGTGACCCGCGGCTTGCTGCCGCCGATGGCCCCGGGCAGGATGGAGCCGGTCTCGTTGTACCGGGCCAGGATCTTGCTGACGCAGCCGTGCGAGACGCGGAGCTGGCGGCTGATGTCGCAGGGCCGGATGCCGAGCTGCGCCAGCTCCACGATCCGCAGCCGGATGGCGTTGGGCAGCGGCCGCCCGTTCACGAAGACGCCGCCCAGCTGGTTCACCTCCCCGTACGTGTGCTCTGCAGCGGCGGAGCCCGTTACCGGCGGGCACGGCGGCGGAGGGACGGGACGGGACGGGA